TAAATGGGTTACCGAAAACTTTCCCTAAGTAGGTCAATCAAATATATCGATATCGTGATCTTAAGGTTCAATAATATTGTACATCTTTTGTAAGTTATGAAATGTTAGTTTTTTTTATTGCCTTAAAAATTGTATATTTCTTATCGAATAATATTGATTATTTTTATATTAATTAAACAACCCATTGGTATTTGGTACCTCCTCAACACATAACCTTTATTTTTTTTCTGTATATTTTAATCTTGAAATGATAAAGTTGAACCGCTTTTACCCACAATCTTAACATCATAATACAGTTATACAACAGGCCTTTAAAGTTTAAAAAAATGACCTGATAACACCGAGAAATAAGATTATAAGAAAAACAAATCATACAACTTAGTCCATTTATACACACATTAATAGAGGTAGAGTGAGGGGCCGTGTGGGAAAGATAGAAAGAGGGGAGAAGTTTAACAAAATTTTTTGGAAAAAAATGCATACACTTTGGTTCATACCACATGGACAGATGTTTCTTTCTAAACATTTTGGCACTAGAAACCAACGGCAGGGTATGGGAGACGCGTAGTCCATACATTAATATGTTACGGGAGTTGTACACTTGAACCAGACACTGATATAATAGTAATATCTAAATAACTTTTATACATACATACAACTTAATTCAACAAAATTATTATAGGGTACTAACAATAATAATAAATAGACTATTGTAAAATGTATTACGATATAAACTCTTACAAAATAATTACAATTGTAACTCATATGGTTATCAATCAACATTGAAAATAATAATATTATCGTAACAATATTTTTGTGTTCAGAGCACATTGTACACCTATATACTTTATAAATTATAATTTATTACTTTTATATTCATCAAATACTTATAATAGTATCGAAGAACAATTTGATTGTTTAATTAATAATTGTACCTGCATGAAATGAAGTAAACTGTGATTTTAATAATCACGAAAGTGTGGGTTTAATAGTCCACAGATGAAAGCTATTTGAACAAAAAAACGAACAAAAAAAGGTTTAGAAAAAGTTCAACATAATTAAGTTTAAAATAAACATTTGTTTTTATTGTACTACCGTTCATATATACAAGCTTATTATATGGACATGGGTTACACGCTTTTACGAAACTTGTATGTTTATTATTATTTGAACTAAAAGAAATACTTAACCCTCCTTAATGGTCGGTAAAATGGTTAGTTTTCGAAAATTTATAAATTTATACTATTTGAATTCTTAAAAATTAATTAAAAATGTATGCACTGAATTGTGTAACCTTTTAAATTAAAATTCTAAAGATTACATGTAATGTTATACAGGACCATCTACTACAAAATGTATTTAAATTATTATTTACATATAAATTATATATTATGGTGTAAAATATCCCTATACTATTATAGGAAATCATAAAATCAACAGTCAAAAAAAGTTGAAATGAAGAAACTAAATTGTAAAGTTTGACATTTTCATTTTTGGTGTGAGATTTAATGAAATGAATGTCTGGAAATCCTTATAGTTCAGTTTTTAGAAGCTAACAGTAGATTATACATATAACTTAAATTATAGAATTACATAAAAAATATAAGAGTTCGTCTTCTAGATTTAATAATTTAAAAAAAAAAAATTGAAAGAAAATTACAAAATGTTTAATTTAGCGTGGAAAAAAATTTGTAATACGAATCGTTCATTTTATATATTAACAGTTTTGTGTTCAACGATAATTCCATTAAAAATATTCTTGTAATATAAATGTATATATTTGTACCTGCTTAGGGCTTAGGCTAAGTGGTTTATTTGATTTGCAGGTAAATAATAAATCCTCTAATTTTAAAATTTTCTTTAGAAATCTTGTATTTTTAATATACATTAAATTAAATAATATAAAATAAAATTTTAAACATTAAGTTTTGTCAGAATTGCAGGTAAAATAACTTATTTTAGTCAGTAAAAATCCAATAACATTTTGATTTGAAAAACTATTAAATTTTAATCAGCCTCTTAGTTTTCATTTATCAATGGTGTCGAATTCTTTATAGCATTTCTAAAATTTGTATTGTTTTAAAGCATTGACATTTATGATAAATAAAAATGTCTTCGATAAGAGGGATAAAATTAAATTGTTAATAAATGTTATATTACTCTTTACTATTAAAGTGAAACTTAACTATATGTACTTGTTTTTTTTTTTTTTTAGATTTTTAGCTATTTTACATTTTGCAATACAAATATTAATTTTGTTAGTTCTTTTTTTTACAATAATAAAATGTAAGAAAACATTTAGAATTCATGTAGTATGTTACTGTATACTGTATGTAAATTAACAAATTGATTGTTTTTCAATTTTATAATTTATAAAAACTACAATTCATGTATTATATACCTACCCAATTAAAAAATAATATTAAAATTAATACTCATTTAATGAGACCATGATTCCCAATGATCTGGTGAAATGCACTTTATCAAAAATCATGTTCAAGATTTCTATATAATAGTATGTTATTTTAAATACACATTTATTTGATATAAAATTAATCTTGTGTAAGGTTCGTTGGGTCCATCTCTGAATTAACATTCAAGTAAAAATTGTGTTATATTGTTATTTGATTGGATCGGTTTAATTTCGACGATTAACACTGAATACCAAGTAAAGACCTATCTAAAGAGTTCTAAAGAATTGCGATACATCAGATAATAATTTCGTAAATAGTCAACTTACCATAAAAAAATTATAAGGAGCAGTGACAAAAACTATACGAGAAAAAATAATTCTCACAAGAAATTGACTGAACATAACGATAAAGATTTTTAAAATTGAATAAAAATTATACAAATAACTTGATTAGTGATAATATATAGTTGATAAATGTGGTGGGAGTAAAATTATTATTTTTATTTGTATAAAAGAAAAACAAGATATATTTTAATAATTCATTAAAGATATCATCATAACCAATATCGATGAAAAAATACATAAAATTGTTATCTTACTCTGTTTCGTATATTTTCTAGACATATTTTAGGCATACTTTAATATTTAATTTTTAATGTAAATGCAAAATTCTTAGAAATGTAATAATAACCATGTTCTACAACGTTTCCCATTGAGATTTAGTCACTATACATAATACTCGGACAATGTTAATTTTTTTTCCTGCTTCGGACACAATGGCCTATTTTATATCGGGCAAATTCTATAGCACATATCCATACAATTTATTCTATATAGAGTCATAGACACAGTGTGTAATGTGTGTAAGTTGTGCTCAAAATAAAAATGAAAAATACAAGTAAAAAATATGTGTAGTGAATCGATTTCAATCGACAATAATTATTATAGACTATAGTAGTATAGTGTAATAATTATTATTACAATAATAGTTAAAGTCGGACATCGAAATAATATAATATTCTTTAGAATATAATAATATAGTTATTCCGTCTTATTTTAGTCATAGCTCCAAACCATTGTCAACATTAAGTGGGACGTGACATTTTCCACAGTTATCATTCTTATTTCGATCATTTCAAGTGTTTTTTTAAAACTCCCAAAAATAAAGTGCCTGCTAAAAAAACAATATACTCTCCACCTAATAATAATGACTTCTCTATGTATATAAAAACTATTTGAGGATACTAATTTTTCGTGAAATTCTAAACTACGAAAATACTCTTTTTGGTAAAAATAAATTGTTTTGATTTCTCATAGATATGAACTTTTCTATAATATCCTTATTAAACCATAAAAAAAAGTTCAGGTAATAAAGTTGTTATATTGTTATATTTATGAATAAAGTGTATATTATATTAAACTAATATTTATAGATTAAATATTTATGTATTTATGAACATAGGGTCAAATAATTAATTTAATTGGTATAGGTAGGTACCTATATTATTAATTATTGTAATTAACCATTATTATTATTATTATTATTATTATTATTATTATGTAAGACATATAGATTATAGGTACTTATAAAAACTATTCGAAAGAATGTACGTTTTATTTTTTCAGTAAACAAATTATTATAAATTTTGATCACAGTTGATGCATTGCTCATAATAATCAATAATCATATTCATTATTATAAAACAATCTTTAAATAGGTCCAACCAATTGTATTATCATAGTAAACGAAGCTGACTCTTTATTACGATACCCATACCTATAGATTGAAATGTCTTAAATTGGTTAATTTAGCTGATAATACCATTGCGCCACGAATAAGTTTTTAAATTAAAAAAATATATTGTACTATAATGAAAATTACAGAATTATTTTCCGGCTTACAAAACTTACAAAAATGTGAACATTGTTCAACTAGCGCAATAATATAATACATCAAACTTTTAAGGGATAAGTGTACGTGTATGTTTTTTTGTTTCAGAAAAATATGGCTAATGGATATTTATGAACTTTAGTAAGTAAGACGTTAGCTTACATTTTTATTTTTAGCTCCTTTTTTGTATCACTAATTTATAATAAAATGCTATTCTAGCGGCTTAAATATAGCCAAGGTTTTCTACATCTGCGGATATAATATGTGATAGTCATTGACACGGAAAAACCTCCAATGTGAAAAATGTATGATTCTGAGGTTTGGTATCCTTGGATTCACAAAACGATAAGCTTTTAATCACGGACTAAGATAGGTTAGATTATCTTAGTCCGTACTTTTAATGGATACAATTTCCAATGTGATATCTCCGTATACTAGTGTAAGGTCTATGGATATCTCCATTGTAGAATTAATGAAAAATAATCAATACATTTTTCTGTCTGTTACCTACAATTACGTATCTACGGTCAATTAGTTTATGAAATACATCCTGTGATTTTATTTTTCTGTACAGTTTTCTTGTCATCGACGTTATGCGGATCATAGAATGTTGACTATTTTAACATGCAAGCAATGAATAGTTAATAGTGGCGATGAAAAAATAACCTGATAATTAAATAACTACTAAGTACTTACTCTTAGTTCGTTCTTGCAGTATCCAAAATGAATCGCATCTTTATATCCTATAAAACAAAATAAATCATTTTATTTACTACCTAGGTATTTGTTTTTTATATTTTCAAGTTAACAACAATTCCAATTTGTATTGTTATTTTTTACAATGAAAAATACACACAAAATATGAAATGACATTTCCCTTCACCTTGAAATAATATTCCATTATACCCTTTTTCATTTTTTAATTTTTTTAAATTTTTAAATTTATTATTACACAATTTTGAATATATCCGATCAGTTGTATTTTAGTTTAAAACATCCTACAGCGCACAGTTTTACATAATATAAAAGTACCTATACTATATGAGTACGTTTCGTAATTAAAATCACGTTTTACCATGTCGGTTAAATTTATATTCATTCCACCGTATTGTTGTTACCATATTCCCAAAATAAATTAATTATGTTTATAAAGTACGTATATATGATGGTACCTAAATGTATATTACGTTTAATTGTAATTTGTTGAATATTTAAGTATGAAAAGATAGATTTTTATCCAACTATATGTTCCAGAACTAGGTACATAGTATATGAACTAATCTGATAAATGGCTTGATTATAAACTGACATAGAATTAATTTTTTTAATTACAAATTACATATTTATTATTTACATCAACCAAAAACATTCATTTTAATTACACTTTGTAGCTTTTAAAAGTTAAATGGAATTCTACTGATGTGTTATCGTTTCCTAATCATGTTTTATTTTGAGAAATTTCAATGTTGGAAACTTGGAAATAATATCAAATGAAAAACAGATGTGATTTAAATTCTGGAAATTATGTTTCTTTAGACATAAATCAAGAGTCGGATGTCTCGACGAAACCATTGATTTATAGAGGATAGCAGAAAACCTGTACGGCATCCTGTAAATATGACAAATTGGTATGTAGGAAAATTATCAGTTTTCATCGTGGTATTGTTATGAAATTGAAAAATCAATCTTCAATGGAGGAAAAAAAGGGAAAAAATAAGAGAGAGAGAGAGAGAGAGAGAGAGAGAGAGAGTCTGAGAGATATAGAGCAAAAGAGACAGCGGTAGAGAAAAGCAAAAAAAATATATATAATATGTATATAAAAGTTTCTGCTGGGTAAGAGCAAATCCAAAGGTCAGTTAACAATATACGGAAAAACCTCGTAAATATACGAAATGTTCAATAATTTATGTGCTTTTGTTTTCAAGACGAGAAACTATAATGATGTAACTCGGTCGTATTTCGTGTACGTGCTCAGACTTGTTTTGTTTATTGGTATCACAAATCGCACAATCAACATATTAAACACACATTTTGTCACGCATCGGAAGATTTTGAATGCACGTGAAAGTAATTTAATAGCATGTGTGGACATTGGTTAACTTCAAGTTCGTATCACCATTCGCCAGTCACCACTAGCGGCCTACGTACATCGTCTAACTATTGTTGTTGAAACTATATAACAAATTTTGAGAGATACAAATACTGTCATCTTTATACCGCACAACCACGTGATTTTGTACACTTACAAAATTTGATCCAATTCGGAGGTACACGATCGTTGTTTTTAAAAGTATTTTTGAAAAAATTATAGGTATCTACGAAATTGTACGTCATTAAAAAACAATACTACGTTGAATTGTTACAGTGTAAGAGTATAATATACTACTTTGGTTGAAGTTGAAGCACTACTCCGCTCATCTAATTTTTTAATAGGTGCTTATAAATAATTAACACTACTCATTCAAAATTCGGTTTTCATGCATCAACGACAAAAATTATTCCATTTCTATGTATGCGATTAAAAATGTGTGTCGTCATTCAAAAAGTTTTAAAAAAAACTTAAAATATTTTACCAATTAAAATAGAGTTAGACTACAATATTCCTTGATAATTTTCATTTAGGTAGGTACTCAAACATTTTTTTTAAATAGTGATATTTTTAGAAATAATCAGAGTATATCATAAATTGATCACCTTATATTAGATATTACAATACTTACACCATATATCTGACTTGTATATTGTACCAAACAATGGTGTGGTGGTGTTTTAGTTTTGATAGAAAAATAAACACAACAACTGACATTTTGTAATTCAATTGTTTCACCCGATAAATATAAAGTGGGTACTATTATAGCGAACATATAGTGGAAAAGTTTTTTAAGCTAACTCAAGTTCTTATAATACTAACATATATATTGGTATTGGACATCGGTAAAATATAATACCTAAAACAATATACATTTGTGTAACGTTTTAAGTGTTACAATAGAGTAAAACTGTAAAACAATAATGTGTCAATCTTTGCAATTTCTATTTTAAAAATATCTGTTAAATAAATGCGTGTGTGTCAATTATTTTAAAATTTTTCGTATAATAATAAATGAGGTAAAACAGTTATATATTATGCACAAATATTCCAACTCATTGAGTATTTTTTGTGTTAATATATTAACTAATCTTTGTCAAAAAAAAATATAGTAAAATGAGAATTATCTTGAAAGTTTTTATTCCCTTTAAGTAATTAAATAGATTAAACCTTTATGTAATTAAAAAAAAAATGCTCGGATGATGATTTCCGTTAATATTACTACATTATCAGCTAGGTAGTAATATTGTAAGTTAATGTCTGTGGGTTGGCCACCCCACTGCGATAACGGTGCAAGATTAAATTAATTAATATCAGAAGTTAACCTTTCAAGTATTTAAAGAAAAATAAATAATTAACAGTCTACAAAAAATATTGTTCTGAATATTATTCCGATCCATCCGTTGACTTGAACACTTATCAATACGTCGAAACAGCGCATTGCTTTCTGGTTGTTCATTAAATTAATAATGAATAAATAATAATAAATGTATTTGTTAATTGTTCAACCTTGATTTTCTTTGGTCTGGTGAGTTGAAGTGTTCTGGTCGAAGGTATTCGAATAATTGACCGTCCGAGCGAAATGTGTTCGTATATAATCGATTACGAGTTATCGATAAATGGTGGTCTTTCAAACCAATGACAGCCAGCTTAACTCGACGAGAATCCCCTCGTTCGTCGAGCGGTGTCATTTGTAGCATGTTGCTTTTGCTTGTCAAATGGATTTTTCTTTCCCAATACATAGAGAATTTGAAATTGGTGGTGGGTTTTTATTATGTTCGATTTTTCGAGGTAGAAGGTAGGTGCAAGGTTGAGGGTAGAGTAACCACTCTTCTACCCTGAGTCAGGGCTATATTTTATTTTAGTGGTCCTGAAAATGACCCCGATTTTCATTGTAGTGTACAATTATATCCATAACAATAACTGTTGTGAACACGCATTGAACACAGTGATTAAGCGTGTTGGTTATCATCTTACAGAATTCCAACCCACAGTTTTTATCATAAAGTAATATTATTTATTTAAAAAGTTGATAATTTAAAGAATTAAAATGTATTTGAATGATATAAACATTAATTTACAACATTTATTTTATAATATTTGAAACAGCAACAAAAATTATAGAAACGATAATAAAAAACTGATTCAATTTGAGTTCGAGAATTAAAAAAAAAAATTAGAATAATAAATTAAAATTTTAAACGTATGAATTGAATGAAACGAAATTTTGACTTACGTATTTTACCTAGGACATTGTATATCCTGAAGTATAATAAATTGAAATCATGAAAAATGTTGAGAACTAATAAAGTGCTTTATTATTATTATTCTTATTTTGAATTTAAGAATCAAGTTGATAAACAGAAAATAAAAAAGTACATGCATACATTTTGATTAATTACCCTTTAAGCATTATTTATTGAACAAAATAATATAATTAGTTATATAGTACTTGGTATAATAGTTTACAGTTAAAGCATTATTACAAAATAACAAAAAATAATAATCAAAATAATGGTGATGTTTATTGAATATATTAACTCTATAATTTATTACCTATTATGCATCGTGTGAATTTGTTGAAAATATTCGGGATTGTCTTACTGTAATATTATAGTGAGTCTATTCTACAAAATTCGCATAATTCATCTTCATAAACTTATTTATGATTTAAATAAAAATGCAAAATGATTTATTATGTTTTAGTATTAAATATTGAGAAATATCGTCACAGTTGATATATTTTTTGTACTCATGAAATATTAATTTCTATGCCAATTTATCATATGACTGGCTTCTATAAGTTTTGATGTTATCAAACATATTTTATTTGATAATATCGGACTAAGTAAAACGGCTTTATTTGTAACTAGAATTATGTTAGTTATAGAATTGAATCACTATGTAAAAAACCATTATTCAGAAGATTAAAAACCTCATTAAACGAAATATAAAGTAATCGTTTCTTAAAGGAACATATTATTATATTTATTGCTTTAGATAAAAAATTTCATCATTTAATTTCGATGTTTATAAATATATTTAACTTAAGTAAAAATGCTCAATGTATCAAATATTAACAAACAGGCTTAAATATGAATATTGTACATTAAATCTTCAAATAAAATAAAATGTTCTGAATAACTCATGATTTGAATCGTTGAAATACCGTTGAATAAACTAAACTTACTTAAACAAGCTGTATAAATAAATAACTTATTTTTTCAGCAGTAATAATTATCAGCATTAATTCCTATGCTGAATGCAATAATTGATTCTTAAATTTTTTTAATGAAAGTCATTTTAATAATCGCACAAAATAAAACTTCACCACTCTAATTCCAATTATGTACTCCAAAATTTAAATTTAAAGTTTATAAAAGTTCCCAAGTTACTTCAGATAAACATTAAAAATGAAATTATTTTTCTTTTTCAATTTTCGATACCCATAATATGCAAATTTACAGAATATTTATCCAAAATAACTGTATAGACAATAATTATTCAGTAAAAAAATAAAAATATTACATTCGCATATGCGTGAAATTATTAATATTTTAGATTTGAAACAATTTAGTGGCTGATTAATTTATTTATCTAATTTCATGTCATGGATGATGGTAATTTATTATTATTATAATAATCTAACAGGTA